CGCCATAAGATGGTGGGCGCCGGCGTCGAAAAAAAAATAATAATTTGGTGGTTTAAGGTTGTTTGGTGAACTTACGCATGAAATGACACATTTTTGTCTTTAACTTTTGGAGTATAATTTGTACATCGTCTGAACACACACGACGGCATGCTTTACTTATGTTTCGCACAGGTTTACACACACGATATAAATTAAAAACAAACGTAGCGTCGCGCGGCAGGTTGGTGCGTAACTAAGCGCGATGTTGTCAATTGCCTTCATTTCATGTTGTCATTTTAGAGCGCGGACAACGTATCTATAGTTTTATACATCATTGGCGGTTACCAACATATTTTGCGATGCATTTTTAAATGTGACTGTTTCTAGCCGACCCTAGGCTAAATACAATTTTCGTTTTCCTCAACGTGTCATTTCATCATGACGTGTCTATATATAATACGTCATTGGTAACCGCATAGGTCAAAAACGGCTGGACCAATTTTGCCAAACCTTTTTTGTTAAGTTTGTTGTTATGAGGAAATATTGTATACATTCAATTAGATTTAAAGAATTTAATATGCTATTTTGTAGTTGTTTGTAGATTTGACACAGATAATAAATAACGTTTAAGTGGTTAAGGCTTAGATGGGTATACCTACTACAAATAGTAACAGCTAATCGGGCTACCCAGTGATACTTTCATTAGATGATGTTTATTTGAATTATTTGGCTTACGAAAATTTTTATAGATAGGAACCATAAATTATTAAATATATTCATCATAATACAATAGTGTTACACTATAACGATTTATTTAATTTATTAATCGATTAACAGTTTAGTCTATGGATGATTGCATGTACTCGTGATTGACATAGATTTTACTAATCGATGTCAATATGATTAATGAAAATGGTACTGTGGCCAATGACGTATTATGTATAGACACGTCATGATCCAACATCGCGGCGCTTAAAAACGGCGAAAATACTAGATAACTACTTCTACTAGTAATAACGTATAGTGGAATGCCTTTGCTAGAGGGAAATAAATATACATCTTCAGTTACATGTACATCACAGGATAAGTAATAGTAAAACTACATTTTCACAAGATGGCCGCCATAAGATGGCGGGCGCCGGCGTCGAAAAAAATAAAATAAAAAAAATAGGTTGTTTGGTGAACTTACGCATGAAATGACACATTTTTGTCTTTAACTTTTGGAGTATAATTTGTACATCGTCTGAACACACACGACGGCATGCTTTACTTATGTTTCGCACAGGTTTACACACACGATATAAATTAAAAACAAACGTAGCGTCGCGCGGCAGGTTGGTGCGTAACTAAGCGCGATGTTGTCAATTGCCTTCATTTCATGTTGTCATTTTAGAGCGCGGACAACGTATCTATAGTTTTATACATCATTGGCGGTTACCAACATATTTTGCGATGCATTTTTAAATGTGACTGTTTCTAGCCGACCCTAGGCTAAATACAATTTTCGTTTTCCTAAATCGAGAAAGGGATGATATGCGGCTTACCCTTTCTAGGGAAATGGGCAAGGGACTGAGCTCCGCCATCTGCCCAGTCCTGTAGAGCTCGTCCTGTTGCTGGTCACTCTCCCACCGTTTACAGGATAATGAATTCCCAATAAATAACATAATTATGTATTATAGATAAGTAGGTTTGCATATTAACTTTACATAATATACATGTACCTACCTACAATATAATTTTCAAACAAATGACTGCTTAAATCAAATAAAAATAATCAAATACTTAAGTATAGGTACATATACGATTATGCTAATCTTTGATGTGATATTGAATGTTGTTTGTTATCTTAATAATAAACTATTAATAATTACTATAATAACCTACGTTTAATAAACATATTGTATTCCTTGTGTACATATTTACGAAGGCATGTGCGTCCATTTTGTTTCTTATATATTTGAGAAGAACAACATATATAACAATAATAATATTATAGTACCCGTATAAACAAATTCTCTTTTTGAAATAATATTATGTAGGTATATGACGTCATAACTTAACTTTACGTCAAATAGCATACTTTTTTTTTGAAAAATTTGCCAGCGAGTCTTAAGTATTAAATCAATTAATAAAATTATGATAATATTTGAATCGTAAGTACCTACCCACTAATTATTAAAAAGTTCATATTTATTTTTATTAAGAAAATTACCAATTTGTCTGGATTTGGTCCTGGTTTCGTCGAAATCGATTAAATATTAAACAATACATATCTAACTATAATATTTTTCACTAAAATGGGATAATAGAGAGAGAATGGAGGCACTTACCTACTTAATATGTTGTACATAAATATTAATATAATACTCTTATACATATATATATGTATATCTTGAACATTATGCACAAATTCATAATTATGAAATAACGCCAATAGATGTCGTAGGTAGATAGTGCCATTTTGTTTAAAAGTAGGAATGTATATAAGAACATAATTATTATTTATTATATAAGTTTAATAATTTTATGTGTGTTACTCACTAGTATGTATAAACTAAATGAGGCCGAAGATGGTACGTTATTAAAATTTGAGGGTAGATGTCCCAATTTGTTCGAAACCACGATTCAAGAATCATTATTGCAAGTGTCTTGGTTTTCTATTTTGGAATAGTAGGTACCTATAGTATAATTATCGTGAGACATCCTTAATTTATCGAAATTACTTAAAAGCTCTACTAGTTTCATGTCACGGCGGGACTCTTAGGTATTTACGAGCAGCGCGTGCTCGTCGCGGCGTTGTCGTAACAAAAAACCGTGCCGTCCGTGCCGTGCTTCTCACTTTATTCACGTAAGTCGTGATTTTCTATAAAGCCATAGATAATTTTCGAAATAAAATAAGTAAGAAGGTAGATCGTAATCATCATAATAATATACTACTTAACATCAAAACTAAAAATGGTTATATCAAACTGTCAAGCAGGTGGCGCTACTCTAGGGTATCGTTTTCTAAATTAGGTACCTACCTACTTTTAATTATTGTACGTACAGAACAAAATTTTTTTTTGCTATACTTAGGTAGGTAGGTAACTAGTTAAATATTTTGAATAATTTTGAAATGTCTTAAGGAATTGTTCAAACTATTGTTTTTTTGCCCTCAAAAAATACCTAACACATTTTGATTACTTTTTAACACAAAGTTCAGGATCGCTTTCTGTAATAATACTTTAAATCTGTAGATACTCTATGGTTTGATGGCAATACGTTTCTTTTTCTATTTATTTAATCTAAATACATATCTGAATGTGTATTAAAATCTGATAAATAATTGTTATTGGAAATTAATTATAATATGGTGTACCAAAAATGTAGACAGTTGTTACTTAAATTAATGTCAATTAAATATTAATCTATCCTTCAAATTACCTACTGAGAAAATGGCGGCTTAAAACGAATTTTGGAGTGAGTCAAATCTTGCTTAAATGTGTGAAAGCGGCCTATGAAAGTTTAACTGACAATATAATCATACTACTTACATTAAATGCAGATTCGTTTAGACAAAGTTAGCTACAAACGCTAGTTCTCATATCAAACTAAATTACCAAAAAATATTTTATTAGATAGGGATTATAGTTTATTATATGTATTTACAGTTATATGTTTAGTTGAATTTAAAGCACAATTTTTATAGTTTAAAGTTATAAAAAAGGCAGTGCTATATTATGAAACGCACAACGACATAACTTGACGTCTATTTTTTAAGTAAATTTGAAAATTCAGTTCAATGTTCTGTGTCTACTAAAGTAGGATAGTATTTATTTATAGCTAAAACTAGAAAGTAGAACCATTCCCCATACATGAATTATGTGCCTATTACCTAATAGGAAATTGTTTAAAAGTCAAGTAAGCGACCCAATTATTTGATTTGTAGTAACAGAACTTTTGGCTAACATTTGATAAAGGCAGCTAGGTTACTTAGTAGTCAGGATTATCAAAAAAATATAAGTACACAATAAAAAATATAATAGATAATTATAATTATAATATATTATATTTAATTTTATGATTTACTTACATATTGTTCAAGGGCTTTAGCTTTGTATACAATTAACTATTAACATTGGACAATAATAACACCGTTCAAAAAAAGCTAGACGCACTGACTGTTTATCTGCTATGTTTATTTCGTTTGAATTAAAAAAAAATGTGTGTTACCTATAAGAGATATTAGGTACCTACATAATATATTAATATTACCAAAAACGATTACGATTTAAGAAAAAGAAAAACTTTTTTCGAAATTGGAGCGAAGTGTTGCCATATCGGTTAGGTTTGTTAGTTTATAGTTTTGTGACAGGAATATAAATTCTTATCACAAATATTGTTGTTTCTGTGTAAGTATATATGCCTAATAACGTGTTGATGGTAAAAATAAACGTTCTAAAATATTGTTCTTTTTTTAACCCCTTTTCAACCATCCCTTAGCGAGTAATCTAATGTTTATTTTATATCATATATATATTTACCTAATTTGTAAACAAAAATAAGTCGGGAAAATAAAAAGATAATAGGAGTTTGCGAGGAATTTTGCTAAGTTACGTCAGGGCTTCAAGGGCAAAGGTCACAACTTGTTAGATAGTTAGATGCTGAACAGCCTTAACACATTCAGTGCTCCCGACGTGTATGTGCGTTTCCTCGCACGCACATACGCGTCGGGAGCACTGAATGTGTTAAACTTTGCATCTATGATCAGACGCATGCATATGATAACTTTTTACTCTTTTGTCTATAAGGGGTGAACTATACTATGTGGGTACCTTGAGGCTATGTCAATGCATAGGGAAGGTATTTTCGACCTTATCGAATTAAATTCGATTGTTCGATCAGCAAAAAAAAAATAACTAGGTACATTCAGGATTCCAGGTACTTACACTCCTTCATAATTCGGAAAGTACATTAATTCTGAATAACCTGTATAATGTAGGCTTTATTTTTCGCAAGAAAATAAAAGAAATATTACATTACCCAAATGTTTATATTTTACATAAAATTATGTAAATATAAAAGGCAAAGTTAATCATAAAATAATGAAACAAAACAAGAAGTATGGAATAATTTTTATTTCAACTCTTAAACACAATCGAATAATATAAAGTAGAGGTACCATATGTTATCTAATTTATTGCTAGCTAATCAAAATCAACCCAGTCTTTTATCTTCTTAGTGTGGGTAAAAAAATATTAAGTTGTATCTACGTTACATAATTGTAGAATTAATTTTAGACATACGACATCGAGGTATTTTATGTAAGCCAGGGCTTTACAATGGAAGTTGTAGTCAATGGATAAACATTACTTTTAAAAAAAAATGTGGTCTATTTTACAATTCGCCAGCCCGTACCAGATTAATTTAAATGTGGAACACTAGCTGACCCGGCAAACTTCGTACTAACATATTTTTTATTAAGTTTCATTTTTTTATGACCTTTTAAACCTTCCTTGTATATGCAGGAATATTCCAAGAACACAATAAGCCATATCGGTCCAGCCACTGTAATACTATCCATATAATATTATTACTGTAGTCCAGCCCTTCTGGAGTTTTAGCGAGACTAGCGAACAGCAATTCATTTTATATACCTACATATACTTATGTATGTGCCACTAAATTTACCTGGTATTGATAAACTGGCTCTAACGGACACTCTTATAGTACATAAGACATAAGAATACACATTGTAAAACAGCGTCCGTTGAAAAAAAACTGTAAGAACTTGTGACTTACTGTTATTTTTAATAAAAATTGATGTGTGTGACAGTTCAAAAGTTATATTATTGGTCTTGTAACTTTCGTGAGACATATTAAATTAATAATTATGTTCCACGGCATACTTACGAAAATGTTTGATGAGGAACTCGACTAGTTTCAAGCCACGATAGGGGCTCATATTCAAAAGCAGCGTTACTTACTAGGAGAGTTCCTCGTCAAACCGCTACGTAAGTCGTTACTGAACATAACAATCAAATTCTTTGGTTTAATTTTTTCTTGTCAATGTTGACAGCTGTTCTCATAGTAGTATAGGTACAATAATTGTTTTAGTGCCGGCAGTAAACAGTATTATATTATATGTATATGTATATCCTTCATACTGGAGGTTGGCCTGTGTTTTTTTTTCGTCGGAAGACTAAGGATTTGGTTAAGGTATGGAAATGGAAACCAATGACCATCTAAGGATTACTTGGTTGCTGGTATTGTGTGCCAGTTACACGCAGCGATAACGATGCGCTATGCACTTCGACATAACAGAAGATAATCAAAATAGTTTTATGTAAAGAAAAGTTATAACCTTAATAGGTAATTATAATTGGTAAGTCTGAAAATCAGCCAGTATTTGCAAAATAATAATGAATTTATGTTAAATATATAATATAATTGAGATGTCGAATTTATCTTTTTTCTATCTGTGGCGTCGAACAAAATGACGTGACACTATTAAGTGACCAAACGCCATAATATTGGATGACACGCATCTGTGTCGACTCTGAGTTACCATCAATTACACATAGATGTCTAACGCCTCAGGTAAAGTATGTGATGGCACGGAAACAAAATTGGTTAAATAATTTGTTTCAATTTTTAATTTTCAATAGCAATTTGCATTCTAGCTAGAACAGTCTGGTGAAATTAGAACACAATTCTTTAAAATAAAATATTGCTTATACTCGCAATTAAATAGAGAACTAATTTTAAAACTATGAAGTCTTAGCATAAATTGGTCATAATTACCATTTATTAAGAATCTTACTAAATTCTATCTACGTATTTTAGTAATCATGTACTAGATTTGTTCACTGCTGTCTGCATCTCTTTTGTCCGTTTCTGCTTTTTTCATCTTTTTAGCTTTTATGTCAGCCATTGTCTGTTCAATAGAGCGCTGGTCCTTCTTATTCTCACTAGGAACTTCTCCATAACTCTTGTTAACATTTGTTTTCTGAGCAGCATCAATAGCAGCCTCTTGGCCAATCAAATGAGCATACTTCTGTTTATAGAATGTACCACTCAATTCCTCTTGCCCACGCTTCCGTTTTCTATTCTTCTCTTCTTCTAACTCTAAAGCTGCCTGCTTCTGTTTTTCAAAATGTGCTAAAGCCATTTCAGCTGCTTTGTCTTCGCTCCATACTCCACCAGCCCTACGTACTGTTAGTTCATCTTCGGAAGGGCCATTGTCTTTTAGGTACACAACAGAATACCGGTCTATGCCTTCTTGGCCAAACGAGAAGACTTGTAAACCAGCAATTTCAGATACATCCCTGATGATAGACCTATACATTTGTTCCATTGGCTCAAACTGTAAATGAGGTTTTTTACCATCTTTTATAAAGTTGCTTATTTTCTCCTCAACACGTTTTCTGAACCTGTTAATCATATTTCGTTCCTCTTTTTGCCTGTTTTCCATGGCCTCTTTTTGTTTGCGCATTGCATTTTTTTGAGCTTCGCTAGCCGTTGGAGGCTTTTGCATGGAATTGAGAATTGAGTCAAGTAGGTCCATGGTTAAATTTGGTTCTCTGATATGAATGATGTGTATGAAATTATTTCACAGATTCGCTTTTGCCAGTTTACAGGGAAGCGGAAGTTATCTCCGATTGCTTCTGTGTTTAATTCCTTGAATGAAAGTACATTCAGTGATATTTCTATTTGGGAGCACACCTGGCTTCCAAATGTTATTGTATCTTCAGCAAATTCCAGTAGTTGTTTTAATGGTGGTTGAAGTGGCGTGCCTTTCACCAGGGCAGAATTGGGTGCAAAATCAATACCCTTGCAGCTTTCCCTCAGTGTGGTATTTTTGTTGCAGAGTTTCTCAAAAAGCTCCTCTATTGTGCACCTGGAATTGAAATATATTTTGTTGAAGAAATGTTTTTTTTTTATATACTGAACTAACATGATATGGCCTGGTCTCCAGGAACAAATTATAAGGTTGGTTGCTTCTATGATCATTTACACACCACTGAGAAACAGTGAATTTATATTTCTAATTATAAGGTGTTAAATAGGGATTTTCAAGCTATTTTGCCAATTAAATGTAAAGACATCTATGCTAAGTTTCAGTTTAGCGATTGGGCAACCGTAGGTATTCGTAAGAGTAGAGATAAACTTTTTGAACTTTATAGCATGAAACCATACAATTGCGACCCCCTTTTTCATCAACATGTAAAATTGTACTCAAAAACATTTAGAATAGTATGCAAAGCCGCAAAACGACTTTTCATCAGTAATAATGTAAAATCAGCTGATGACAAGATAAAGGCTACGTGGAAAATAATACAGAATGAGACAGGTAGGAAACGATTAAAAAATCCGGAATTTTGCTTAAACACTGAAAGGGGACAGATTTCGTCAAGCAAAGATGTAGCTCAGGAGTTTGAGGCATTTTTTGCTAATATACCTGTCACAAAAACTGCTCATTTAGAATAATCAGCCAGACTATCGGTAACTTTGCTTAGAGAAAATGTCAAATCATGCAAAGACGATTTTAGTTTTCATTATACTAATCCTTTAGAGATAATAAAGGTTTTTAAAGAAATCAAGATCAAATCAACTTAGGACCTTTGGGGACTATCGGTGAAAGTCTGCGGATCACTTATCCGAACTTTAGCGCCGTATCTGGCTTTGATTTTCAATAAAAGTATAGATGACGGTGTCTTCCCGAACCAAATGAAATCATCATCATCTTCCTGCCCTTGTCCCGTTTTATTTGGGGTCATATGTTTTTTTCTTCCATTCTGTCCTCTCACTCCTCACGCTATCGCTAACTCCTCTGTCTTCCATATCACTTCTCACACAATCCATCCATATTTTCTTTGGTCTCCCCCTCCATCTCCATCCATCCACATTTATACTCATGTCTTTTTTTGCCTAATGAAATACTGTCAAGTTATTCCATTATTCAAAAATGGTGATACTAAGGAACCAAACAACTATAGGCCTGTGTCTGTTCTGCCGGTTCTTAGCAAAGTGTTTGAAAAGTTAATGCTATCTCGGTTGCTTCATTACTTTGATAAACATGCCATCTTCCATCACCAACAATACGGTTTCACAAAAGGTAAAGTATAGTAGTAGTAAAGGTAAAGGTATTTGGTGCTTGGGAGGAAGCACAGGATGCTGTTGGTGTCTTTTGCGACCTCTCAAAAGCGTTCGATTGCGTTGATCATAAAACAATCTTGCTGAAGTTAGATCATTACGGGATTAGACATACTGCACTCCGTCTACTAAAGTCATATTTAGAGGATAGGCAGCTGAGAGTTCATGTAGGTGGTTCTAACTTACGGGGCTCTGAAATAAGAATTGGCGTTCCGCAAGGTTCAATATTGGATCCGTTTCTCTTCTTAGTGTATGTTAATGACTTGTCATTTTTATTTAAAACTGAGCCAAGAATGATGCTGTTTGCAGATGATACATCATTAATTTTTAAAATAGGTCGACGTGTTAATAATTTGGACGAAGTAAACAGATCCATTCATCAAGTTCATAATTGGTTTACAGTCAATAATTTAGCACTAAACGAGAAAAAAACAAAAGGTATTAAATTTAGCATGCCCAACGTACACAGTAATGATTATGACATAATTTTAAATGGGCAAAACTTAGAATTTGTTAACGAGACTACGTTCCTAGGTATTACGCTAGACAATAAACTTTAATGGGGTTCCCACATAAATACGCTTTCGGAAAGACTGAGCTCAGCTGTTTTTGCAGTTAGACAGATTAGACAGCTCACAGACGTGAACACCGCAAGGCTTGTTTATTTTAGCTATTTCCACAGCATTATGTCGTACGGAATTTTGCTGTGGGGTCGAGCTGCGGAAGTAGATTCAATATTTATTTTGCAAAAGCGGGCTATCCGAGTGAAATATAACTTGCCCCCTCGTGAATCTCTGAGAGAACTATTTAAAACGATAAATATCTGGTACTTTGTCAGTTTATATATGAAAATATTAGGTACGGAAAAGAAAAATTATTGCAATTATTTGAAAAAGAAGCGATAAACATCATTTTAATACTAGAGGCAAAGATAGGCTGGCTGTGCCACGATTCCGTCTGTCCAAAGTACAGAAATCCTTTATGGGGTTCTGTGTAAATTGTTACAATAAAATTCCAAGAAGTGTATTAAATCTTAATGAACAAAAATTTAAAACTTATATTAAACTCGAATTATGTAGACAGGCATACTACAAACTTTCAGATTATATTGTGGATAAGAATGCTTGGCAGCATGTTGGTTCGGCTCCACTGGACAATATTCAAATATGTAGTCAGTAGTTACTAAAATTCTCAAAACGAATGAAACCTTGAATGAGTTTATTAGAAGCATTCTTTTGGATTGTGAGTATGCATATGTGAGCGCCATGTTCGAGACAACAAAGGATTACAATTTTAATGATAGATTAGATAGACCATCATTTGTTCCTTTTTATTAACAACTAGTCTCTGCATTGTTCTAACATAGGGGTATGGTAATGTACAAAAATGTAAAACAAATTTTTTTTTTAAATTAAAAGAGTAATGATGGAGTTTCTTGCTTGTTCTTCTCCATTCGAAACTACAATTTGGAACGAGCACCTAGCTTCACTGACGAACAGACTGATAGACTACTATTCTATTTTGATGTTTCAAAAGTACCTGTTTATGGTTTAGTTGGAATAAATGATTTCGATTTCATTTGATTTAAGTTTCAAATCACCAATCCTCCTTGAGCAAGCTTGGTGATTAATGCTCAAACCTTATCTGTGTGAGAAGAGGCTTTGGCTCAGCAACTTAATGGCTGATGATGATGATGATGATGATGAATATTCATTCAATATTTCATAAAATACTTTTCACTGCTAAGGTCTGTTATTGATTCTGGGTTCAGCGCATAGTGACTCATAGTCTTAATGGTAGAAATAACAATTCAGTTATTTCAGTAGTTATTTAAATTAATTTGTTACATTGTAACATTTTATTTAGTAGGAACAATAATTTATTGTGTACTGTACAAGTAACAATGTTTGACTATTATAAAACAAACCTTTGAATATAAAAACAATACTCAAATGTAGACTTCCTGCATTCTTTGTAGCCATTCTTGTGTAATACAGAAACACTATTACTAATGTAATATGGGTCATTTTTAATTACCTCATCACTCATGAACAACTTGGTACTTTTTTAGGAATTTGGTAGTTCAATCAAGGTGCATGTATAATTATAATTTGTTTTACCTACACCAATGCGACTTTTATTTATTTTGTTATTGTTGTTTAGATTGATAACTTTGTCACCTTAAAAAGTAAAGCTGAGGTTAATGTAGACAAAGTATCCTTTATGCAAGGATTAAACATTTTCAGTCAGGGCAAATCAAATCCTTATAAGAATATAATTAATTGAACAATCTATAACTTATATTACACTATCCTAAGGCTACCCACTGACCCTTTTATTACTTAAACGAATGAGATTGAATTGGCTTAAAACGTAAATATAGATAAATACTTACAATTTACTTCTGATTTCTTGTACGTCTTCCGAGATAAGGTTAAGTATGGAAGCACTTAGCTTGCTTTGCAATCCTTCAAATTCGTCCAATGGTGTACCCGTCACGACCGCCCTACAACATCAAATGTCGTTACACGCGCTCGTAAAACACAAACAATATATTTCTTAGTAATTTCACTCACTCCTTTATGTTCTTACAACGCTTTATCAGTTTATTTATAGACGCAGCGCAGTTTTGGCAATCTTTCAAACTTGTTTTCACTGCCGTGTGAAATTCGTCGAAGTAGGAAAAGTAGTCAATTAATTGTTTTTGTACTTTGGTTTCCATTATTTGAGGAAATATCCATGTTTTATGATAACTGTTCGTAACATGTACGCATTTAGCATTTACCCTTCGGTGCCTCGATAAATAACACACAAGAAAAAAAGCGGATTGATAAATTGATTATACTGAAGTAAGCTGCAATGTGACAGCTAATTTCGTTTACGAAGTGGGCTATAAAATTTTTGATTATATTTTTCTTGTACAATCGGAAAGAACTTTAATTGTTAAAATATATTTTCACGTCTATTGGACAATAAATTTCTCCATTAGCTGGAGAAATTTATTCATTAATAAAAAAATTAAAAAAATAAAAATATTCATTTCACTTTTCACTCCTCGCTTATGTAGTTATTAGTAACTATCTTCATGAATATTTTTAGTCTTGTGATGAACGTAAGCTTACAAAATCGGTTTTTACCGAATTTTTAAAAATAATAACAGCAATTATTAGAATTAGTTTTATTTTAATGCATATGTTTTTATTTTGTTGACGCAGTTACATTCGGTTTTACTCTGCTAGTGGTCGATTGCACCTGTCAAAACTTGGAACCAATAGCAAGCCTTCGTGTGTGACCTCGAAAAATACCAGTCTTGATTTTGATACGAAGAGAAATGCATGTCTAAGTTAATCGCGTTTTAATAAATGAAAACACGTCGCAGATCTCTTAAATTAATAAGTGCCTACTTAAATATTTTTGATGAAGTGTGAAATAAAATGAGTGTAATTGATGTGATGTAATTAGAGCTTAACTTAAGATAATTGTGCTTTCGCTTTCGTGAAAATGAATGGCAAACTGCATAGTGAAACCGGCGCTTTCTCATCTGACGACATGCGCGCCGAAATATTGAACCCTTTCGTCCACAAATTGGAGCTAGATAACACATATGACAAAATAAAGGTACGGAAACGATGAAAGCAGGCTCAATTGCATAACTCTGTAAAGTGAAAGTATTTTTTTTATGTAGTAAATGTGTAAAGGTTCTATACTAAGGCATTCTGCGCATGTCTAAATCTAATAAAGATGACTTAGTTATGAAGAAAATGCTGCAAATTTGACGTGGAAACAAAACAATAATTACTACGGTATTGCAAAAAATGACGACTTGTAGTACAAGATGAAACGATACTATAGTTAGCAGCCTGGCGATCATTTAATGCATTGTGATGATATTGTTGCTTAATTTATTCAAAAGTATTCTAACATTGAATGAGGAACAATTAAATTAATGCGGTTGCCAAATATGTACTCTAGAAAATACTTGTCTTCAAGGCCTGATGCCTTGTGTTATTGACAATGAATAAATTGTGAATACAAATAAATCGACACCTTCCATTATTAGTTGCTTTTCACTTATTTTTTATTGCATTTCAGAACAAATACGTTCAATAGCGGCCATAATTTAAAATTCGTTTAATTTTGAGGCTCCTACCAAATTAAAATTAAGATTATTTCACATTTTACATAACTTTTTTTTAGTAAATATAATATTAACGATCGACTCAAAATAATAAGCGTATTAAATTCTGGAATATATAAAAAAATATTGGTAAACAAGGCACAAGGCCCTATTACTGCGATTCCCGTATTTTTTTTGAGGCGCATTTAATTATTTGTCTTATTCATAATTATACAAATCAATAAGAGAACAACTGCGAATCTATACATTGGGAAGGCATAAGCTATCCTGGTGCGACTGTTTCTAGCTGACCCTACGCTTATTAAAATTCTCGTTTTTCCTAAACCGTGGAGAGCATTTGGTTCGGTGTGCCCTATCGTGGGGCATGGGCCAAAAACTGAACTAATAGGTATATCCTCTTTCCTTGATTTGGAAAACTGAAATTGTGTTTAGTCTCTGATCAGCTAGAAACACAAACACACTAGTATTGGATTAATTATTTTACGTTTCATGTAGAAAGTAAACTAACAATCACAAACATTACATAAGTAGGTATGTCAATTAACGGCCGAAATTAATTAACGAAATCAATCATAACCTTTAGATTGGATTTTTGACGATAGTTCTCTATAAAACTATAGTCAAAAATGAATAAGAAGCTCTTTAGCTTTTGTCAAAAACTTAAACCAATTCCAATATTTTGGAAGAGCATCGGTTACTTGAAAGTTTTTTTTGAAAGATGACTTTGAAAATGTATTTTAGAGTACAGTAATTAAACTTAAAAATCTATAACAACTTAGCTGCCACCATATTGCTATTACGTCCAAAAAACGTTGACAATTAGTAGAATTTTTATTGTAATTTAAAACTATTTTACAAAGCATAAATGTTAAGATTTTAATCATTGGTTGTGGTGTACGGAAACCGTTACTCATAATCTTAATGCGAGGGAAAGTCAGCATTTTTCATGTTACATTCTGGTACCGTTTTGTGCAGATCGCGAGATAGACATCGTACAACACTAGTCACGCAATCACGATGAAAGAAAGTGACATCATTTTCTTACAATTTTCGCCGCTCATTGAACTGCCTTACGTAATAGAAACACCGCATAAACAAAGAAATAATTCTTAAAACATCCTAGTAATTATTTTAATAAACATAAAAATATTAAAATGAGACAAGAAGTTTAGAGAAAGTGCATTTGATGATATAATAAATAATGTTGATTGCGTAACACCGAACTCGTTACGCATCTATTGGTGCAAAACTTGTTGTTTTCATGTTTTGTCCGACGATTGTACGCTTATTTATATTTATTACAATATTTAAAATTATTTAAATATCGTTTCTATCTTTTAAGATTCATAAAAATAATACATAAGCAGCATCTAAAACATTTTCTCGTCGAATAATTAATTTAATGACAAAATTAATTATTCCACGATGTTTTTTTTCTTGTTATCTTTGGTACGGTAGTCCAAAACATACCTAGTTTTGCACTAACGTTAGTACTTTATAGTAATGCTGAATCATTGAAGTGAGATTTATCAAACTCGTGGTACTAATGCATTTGGCATATGCATCAACAGGCGACGAAAATGAAACACGTGTGTTTGTATTACGCGTTGGATCCATTCATAGCTCTAAATATTACCTAAGTAGTATGCGTAATATCTATCTATATTGAACAAAATGTTTATACTAATACCTATCACATTATTGTAACTATAAATAACTTGTATTGTAATGCATTTTCTATGAAAAAAGAACAACTAAAGGAAAGTGTTTACATTACTCTATCAAACTGCAGAATTATATTTTCAAATAAACTTAAACTACTTTTTATACGCAATGCAAAAATGTCAAGATGTCAAAATAATAACGTGATTTATAATTATTATAAATATATAAAATGCCGTACCTACAGAACTAACTTCACGAATAATTTGTGGTCTATAATTTCAAATGAAATGTTTAAAAAAGATTTGGAATAGATGCGACAATTATTTGCAGTTTAGGTATTTTATAAAACTCGAAATCTTTCCAGAAACGACCACACATTTAAGATTACGCCTCTTCCTTTAAAAGGCTCATGAGTCATTAATTAAAATAAATATCACTACACTGGATGAATAACTTTAAACGCCAAAATCGATTCGTTTTTTAGATTTATTTTTTTAAAATCGTTATTTTTTTATAATATAGAAGATAAATCTTGTATGTATTATATTTTATATAGAAGAAAAGATGATTCATTTCATTTTATTTTCCCTATTGTAGTCCATCCCTAATTTGTAACAGTTGATCTAAAGATTGAATTGCTCTATTGCATACTTAACTATTTTTGTCGTTTGTTTCAGACGGCAATATTCACCGTAATATTACTGCCTTTTCGGGTCATCGTTATTTGTTACCTAATAGTAACAGCATGGTTCCTCGCGTGTATTGGTCTCTACGGCCTCAGCGAAGAAGATCTAAGGCGAAAGCCTATGACAGGATGGAGAAGGTAAAACATTTTATTTGTTGGTGATAATTTTAGTGAAATTTTTGGTATAAAATCTATTGAGGAACACGATCGTTTATTGCTTTTTTTATCTTCTTATTTATTTCATTCTTCACGTCGTCGTCTTGTACCGTTGAGAAGGATTTGACCGCGATTCCCGCCATATTTTTTATAGTTTCCGTAAAATAATATATTTTACCTACGTTTAAAATTTTTAGAATCGGACAAATATGTATACAATGCCATATACCTTTCATACATGATCCCACTTTTGCTTCAAAATTAAAATCTGTGTCATTCACGCTACATGTAGTAGGTACCATAGTTTCTGCAGTTAACCACTTGTCTGATGCTCGACGAAGCGTTCCATAAGTAGGTCAATTCTGTGTTCGGATATGCAAGAGCACCTTGGTCTCACAGATTCACGAAACGGAACGTAACTGCAGACTAAATAAAAATAACACAAGGTCAATTGGAACAGTATTAATTATTTACTTTGTCCTTTTAAATTTTCACGGTTTCTATTCATTTTGAAATTAATCTTTCATGCTAAATGTTGTTAAAGTCATTATAAGCGCTGGCTAAAATTGTATTTTGGATATTTGAGAAATTCACTATCTTTGGTATGTGTGTTGTTTAGTACCTATCTCAATGGAATGGAATGCTTCGCAAACATTTCCCTGTCACACTCAAATCGACCTTGATAATGTTTTTATTTGTATATTGACAATAGACGCAGACTAGAAACATTTGTTAGATTATAAAGAGGAACAATTTTAGTAATAATAACCGAAATTATTTAATTTTTTGTCAAACATAACGAACGAGACACCAGTGGTTTCTATAAAACCGGTTTTTGGGTTATACTGGTAAAACATCTCTTATTTTTTTTCCGATTCTCTTTGATTTTATTTTTGTTTTGGTAAAACGAAATTTTGAGTAAGTAGGTCTGTTTACTGTATTTTATTTAAAAATAATTAAATAAACACCATTGCTCAAATAGATAGTATAGTAGATAAAATAGACTCTTAAATATTTTTTTGTTTTAAATTGCGGTATGAAACATTGTACTTTGTCAGCCATTTAGATATTGAAACAGTATAATCGGTGTAGGTATTTGTAATGGTGTAGATCATTAATATTTATTTACTTACACATCGAGTTTATTTTTGTTTCGTCGTCAAAATTGAAGTTCAAGGTTAGTATCTACTTTCCTATATAATAGAATGAAATTCTTATTGATGGCATACTGTACATAGATTTCTGTTTAGCCGAGCCTATCCAATGGGTTGAATTGAATAGACATTCCATTCCATTATGGTCCATACTCTACTCTTATTAACCACTACCTACTATTATTACTATAAACCATTCGAAATTTAACTTTTGACAGCTCAAATGGTTAGACAAAATAATTATGTACCTAGATATGGAGTTGGCGAACGATTTTTCATTTTGCATTTGCATTGCATTATTTAATAAATTTAACTGTTCGTTTATGAGGAATGCGGAAATCTAAGTGAATAAATCGTAATAACACGAGATTTTTTTTAAATTTAGAGTCATGAACTATATTTTGCATATTAATTTAATAAACATGAAGGTATCGTATGTATGAAGGTCGATGTTTCTGCAGTCTATGGTTGCTGTAGATAAAGAGTCGTTAGATTATGGCGGCCGCTAGCTAGAAAGCGCGGGAAAGTGGACAATGTGGGTATTGGTTCTTGCAGCAGTGTCATCTTGACCTCTTTGGTTGATAGGCTTTTTTGAGCGCAGAAAATGGTAGTGATAATTTTGAAATCAACAATGAATTGAACACATTTGTGTTGTTGTTGTTGTATTTTTTTCCTAAGAATCAAGTAGCTAGGTAAATAGGAATTCAGACTTTGATTTGAAACGTGTCTAAATATTTTTAAAGCAGACCTCTTTATTTGTCTTCTACCTACATATGTATAAAAAAGTAGAATACCATTTTATTAGTAAAACGAAAGTGTTTAAGCGTTTGAACTGTTGTTAGAAGAGAAGCAACTATTTTGATGCCATTACATATCTGCAAATACGTATACTAAGGCTAATCGCCAATAATTTTTAAACTGCACCACTATATATAAAAGCAAACAAAATTTATAACCACATAACCTATATGCATCTGAAATAAATGACTGTAAGTACAGTACGGCCGTCGTATCTTGGCGAGTCTGAAGTTAGCCGTTTGTCTGCGCAATGGATCTTTTAGTAACAAAATTGTGTACTGCGCAGCTAATCGGCTAACTTCAGACTCGCCAAGATACGTTGGCTGTATTGTACTACTAAATCGACAATATCTTTTTAAATCCATCAAAATTGAATGGCTTTCTAAAGTAATTTACAACAAAAATCTAGTTGAATCAACAACACATATTAACACTTTGAAACAATATATTACTGACCGTAATCCAAAATACTGTGTGCAAATATACATAAATATTATTCAATACTATCTTTTGCCCGCGACTCCGTACGCGTGGACTTCCTACAGATTGTTGGTATAAAAAGTATGTTGAGTTTCTAATTACCCATTTAAGTAAGTATCGCTTTCATCTCGATGCGAGCAACTAAACTATAAATACAATCAGACGAGCTATTGAGTCTGTAGTCGAGTCTATCAAAACAATCGTGTAGGTACGCTTTTTAAACGAATTGTTCTTTTGTTTTTATAATAACTATCGTGAGACATACTAAATTGACTGAAAATCGCGGGTTACTCACGTGTTTATATTAGGACGTAGTAGGCTGCGCGACGTCGCCGCGTCCGCGCACGCTGCTCATGAGGAAGAACCCCTCTGTGGTTCGAAACTAGTAGAGCTTTTCTCAATATATACACGTGAGTAACCCGCGGGTTTTTAGTTAATGAATTGTTCTTTTGTTACTAGGTCAAAAATAAATTAGGTATTTGTATTTTGATTTTTAAATAAGTACAATGAATTATAGAGCATCAACATTCATTGGTCCGAGGATATGTGTGAATCTTAGTCGATTTTATTTAAATTTTAAAAATAATCGTGTAGGTTTGCTGTTTGATGTAAAAAAATTATGACGCCATATTGTCATGTTATCGTACGTAACGTGGGTTGCGGGGTAAGCGCAATGAGGCACCGCGACCTCGGCACAAAGCAGGAGAAGGAACAGGGGGGTTTTTAGTCAGTAAGAGTCTGACACTCCTTCCTGCCCGGCCCTGGGCGGGAGAAGTCAGATCGTACGTAATGTCATAATATTATTATATTGTTGTGATTACATACAAAATAAAGAGAAAAGTATCGATTCTAATATTTCATTAAAAGTATTGGATTTGACTAATAGGAAACTAACGGAATTATTTTTAAGTGTGGGAGAGCCATGCTTCACCACGAATGGGTCGGCTCGACCGGAGTGATACCACGGCCTCACAGAAAACCGGCGCGAAACAACCACAGCGTTGTGTTTCGCCGTGTGGTGAGGTTACCGGAGGCCCAATCCTTCCCATCCCCCAATCCCTAAATCTCCAAATCCTTAATCCCTAAAAGGTCGGGGGAAAGCGCTCGTAACTCCTCCGTTGCGGGTGTCCATGGGCGGCGTTGATTGCTTACCATCAGGTAAAATCCGTCTGCTCGTTTGCCGACCTATTACATGAAAAAAGGATTACATTGATCTGCTCAGTAGCCGACGAGCCGAAGTCAATGTAAAATGATTATAACATATGAAGGAAGATGAGAAGACCAATTTTCAACGTCGAATTGCATTCAATGTTTGCCTTCTCTGTACTGAATGTTTTTTTCTCTATGAATGCTAAATAACTTGGCTGACCGTACGTACCTTAGGGAAATTATTGTCTAGTCATGGTGGTAAATGCTTCGTGATTCTAGTCCGTCAGCTGTGATTACAATTGAAATAGTTTGATTGAGTGTATTATTATGAAGCCTTAAGTGGCCCTACATTCTTCCTTGTGTAAGTCGAGCAAGTTTTATCTTCAAGTAACTAGTGATCGTTTTCTATTTGGGGATTCGTAGTCAACTAAAAGCCCTTATATCATCGCCATGTCTATCTGTCTGTCCGTCCGCAGATAATCACAGTGACCGTTAGCACTGCAAAGCGGAACGAATATGTTTTATATATCAATCACGCCGAAAAAGTGGTAAAAATGTATAAATTATTAACGTAATTCCCTAAAAGATGGCGCTGTACTTTTTCTACTTCTCGTTGAATTGCGGTGTTAACATTTACAATAATTCTTAAGTGGGGACACTTATTGTGACAGACAAGCAACTACGGAACCCTTTACTGAGCGTAGCCCGATACGCTCTTGTTTATTACTGATAATTTTTGCGTCAACTAGCATTATGAGGTAACGTTACTCACACGGCTGTGGTTGTTTTACGCCGGTTTCCTGTGAGGCACTCCTTTAGAGCCGACCCATTCGTGCCGAAGCTTGGCTCTCCCACAGTTTGAACTGCGAATGTTTGTGTGATTAGGTAATGATGAAGTTTTTATAACGATCAGATCAGATATGTTCATCAGTCGGAATTGGGTACCTACGTCAAAAATATTAATTCGACGTTTCAATATAATAAATAACTATAAGTACTTTAATTCATTGATCGATCGATACGCAAAATTTTAGATATTATTTAGCTAATTTTTACGAAATAAGTAAACTATTTGACGTAAAAATACTAAGACGTCATAACTCAGTATTTCATACAAATTTCATAGAAAAGTGTCGTTTTTGACATTGGATAAAAGTATTGAATTTGACTAATTGGATGCGAATCGAATGGGGTGTATGCTTTGGTAAAATTATTAAACTTGCTATGCAATTTAATAACTCATCATCATCTGTTTAAATTCACATTCGTTTTTTTCAGTTATGTTAAATATGACTTTCAAAGAGACCTGTCTATACGAAAAAAAGAAACTGTACTTAGGCCTCGTTTAGGCACACCGGCACACGTAGCGCGTCATGCGGTCCTACATACATTGCTCATAAT